ACATCGGTGCTTTGAGGATCTACAACCTTTCTGATAAGAAACATTAGGACACTAACTAAGGTAGTTGAGACCAAAGATCCTCCTCCATCAGGATATTTCACAGAGGTTCAGAGCACTAGAAACTTCTGATTATCTTTGCCCTTCCTAGCAGCATAGTTTGTCAAACTGCAGTCAGCGAGCCTTGAATTAAGTCCAGAAATGTGCTGTCTAGGCTTTTTTTGTTGATCAAAGAGGTGAGTCCCAATCTTAGTTCTAACTGTCCATACGCAAAGGGAAACTAAGTCTTTCTTCCCTGCCCAAGTTGCTAAAAGGGAAGATTCAGTGCCAAACAGCCCCCTGCTCCCAAACCAAAGACCCCAACTCCTGGTACCTCTCCCTCGGCACTTTTATTTCAAGAGGTGAGCTCTTGCCTTGTGACTTGCCAAGCTTGAAAAGAACAAGGGTTTGAAGCAGATGTTTCACTTTTGCCTGTCAGGTCTGCTCAGCATCCCACTGGGGAGCTGTGGGCAGAGGTCTGACTCACTCCGCATGAGCACTGTAACAGCTGACCCATCTCTTCCTGCTCTCCAGCTGACTGCCAAGATGACTTGTAGCTCTAAGCGATGGGCTGCCCCAGGAGACTCAGTGATAGTACCCTATTCTACAATCTCTTTTCCTGTCTTCCTCCATGGTTGGCAAAAGAGAAATCTCTCCTGGCAGCAGAAGCAACCTATGTACCTCCTACTGAGCCCCCTCTCTAGTTTCACTCCATCTCCCCAGCGCATTCAGCTAGAGGAGACATCTCAGGAGCTGTGACCACCATGGTCTTGCATGGTCACCTCCCTTTAGCAACAGTGATGCCTACACCACAGCCTCAAGAGTGGGGCAGCTGCTCACACCTCCTGCATTTATTCAGTCCCAGCCCAGCTGCCAGGATTACTACGCTGCATCCATTTTTTATAGGGAATCAGACTATACAAACTGTTGGGAGGCCCTCCTGGCCCAACTAAATTCAAGTGAAGGCAGCACTTACGTTCAGAGAAAGGGACTAACATCAGGAAAGGGCTGTGGGGATACCTCCAGCCCGGTCGTGGCTGGAGGTGTCCCCACAGCCATGCAAGCCTGTGCAGTGCAGCCAGCAGTGGAGCCCAGGGCATCCAGCACCACAGCACTGCAGTGAGACCCACACTGCACTTCGGGGTGCCAAAAACAGCTACATCATTTGAGAGCAGAGAGTGAGAAAAGCAGCAGGACTGTGTGTGGGAGGAAAGAGGTGAAAAGGAGCAAAGGCAACCTAAGCTTCAGAAAAGCCTCCCTCCCTCTTCTCCACAATGGATTAAAGACTTCAGAGCTGTCTGCCCACCAGTAGGCAAGGAGTATCTGGTGCACAGGCACCAGAGACTGAAGGGGTTGCTTTAACTGCTATGGCTGGGACTTGCTGAGCCTTTCCTTTCACTGACATCCAGTCTGGAGCAACAAAAATGCCCCTCTGTTCCCTCCAACTGACTTGCAAACCACAGCCCAGCACATCAGAGAGAAGCGAGCAATTAAAGAGACAAAGTGCTGAAAAATACATAACAAAAGCCCTACAAATGGGTACTAGGAGCCTGGAGAACAAAGACCACGCATGTTAATGATGAACATGATTCAGTTAATTTTTAATAGTCCATAACAGAAGCAATGGAGAAACAAGTGGGCATCAGACAGGAAACTCTTCCTTTCTTCACAGCACTCTCCTCATCGGAGATGACAGCCTGCCCCCTCCCTTCCCTTCCTGGACTGTCTTCACATCTCTGACCCAAGAAGCTTTCAAGGGAGGCACTGCAGATGGGTTTTTTAAGTTTTATATATGAGCTCTCTGCACCGAGAAACGCAGCCCAAGAGCTCTGAGAAAATCTCATGATGTTTTCAGGAAGTTTAAGCTCAAAGACTGCTTGGTCTGTCTTGAAGGGTGAAGGTGTGTGTGCCACGAAGCTTGCTTGGGCCCCTTGCCTCATTGTCTCACTGCAGGAGAGGTACTGTAGCCATGCATATGCTGATATACCAGAACCAGGGATGTGCATGTTGGCTCCCAGCTGGGCATGTACACGCATATCCCTGAATTTGCATCAGCTGTTCCTTGGTATCCACCAGCACATTACCTTGCATGCATACGTTAGAGTGACACAGCCCCGCGCTCACAGCTCCTGCCCTTCACAGACATCAGCAGAGTCCCTGCAGCGTCCGGGCTGGGAAGGGAGGCACAGAGTTACCCTGAAGACATCCAGTGCTTTGCACAGGTTCACAGCTTCTCTCTGAACTTTCCTTCATTCCTCCACCCTTCCTTGTTCTATCATTGCTGTCTTCTCTAGGATAGTCTTTAGCTATCTAGGCTCCTAACCCTGACTCTTGACTTGCAAAGCCATTTTTTGAACACTAAACCCCCCACATGAAAATCCCAGACAAGCTGAAGCAAACTGACATCATGGATTTTGGGCTGAATCCGTCACTCCTGTGCTGGAGGGTGGGTGGTAGAGGCATGTCCTGCAGTGCTGAGCAACATGAACAAGTCTGCCTCTCCACACATACAGTTCACTCTACTTACAGCACCACTGAGAGCCTCACACACCTGTATCCCCATCCAGCAACACCTTATCCCTCATTGGAGCCTCTGCTGCCGTACAGGAGAGCAGGGACATAGCTAAATGTGAATGGGACAGGGGATGGGCAGCTGGGTGTGAGTCTGGACTGTAAGCATGGACCAAGAGTCGAACTTGGCAGTGGGAACAGCCACATACTGGAGAGCCATGAAACTTGGGATCATAACTGAGCCACTCACTCAGGTCAAGCAGGAGTCTGTCATGGTCACCACAGCAAGCCCCCAGGAGAGACAGTCCCAGAGAGAGCCCATCACCCTGGCATGAGCTGCATGATGGTGTGAAGGCCACTCACACAGCAGCCCGTGAACCCACATGAGCAGGTGAAGCCCAGAGGAACCTCCACACATGTTGATGTACCCAATGTGCTTTTCCCGGCTCTCACCAGGTACCTTAAGCCTCCAGGAGCATAAGTTCTATCAGGCAGTGTGGTCATCCCATCTCCATAACAGGAGAAACTGGCGCTGCAGATACCAGCCGAGGGGGCTGCCATGGGGACAGGAGAGGGAGAGGACACATCTTCCCAGGAGCTGCAGCCTGATGAGATGCTGGGGAAAGGACTGTCAAAAACTAATTTAAAAATGTAGTGCTCCACTTGATTTCATGTCTGAACATGTCACTTAACAGCAATTTAGTCATTCCCTCCCACCTTCTGCTGAGGCACTGACACTTTTTTAATAAAAATACGTACAGGAGTTTCAGGCACTTTATTAAGTGCACAGCAAGGGTGCCAGCACCCATGGCTCTCCCCCACCATGTTCCCTGTTAGTGTAATGAGAGCTTTCAGGAGCACAGAAGCAGGCGGAGCCCCTTCCCCAGCTCCAGCCGAACACTCTCAACGTGATTTCCCAGAGCACATGCTTGGCTTCCTCTAGAAATCACATCTTCACCTGGTGCCCAGGGGTGGGCCCTGCCTAGGTGAAAGGCATTCAGCAAACCTGATCTACCATCAAGCTTATATAATTATTAGAATGTAATTGGTTTTCTTTTTTTTTCTTTCTCTTTTTTTTCCCTTTTATTTCTCTTTTTTCCTTTTTTTTTTTGTGTCCCCAAGCCATGTTGCTATGCAGAAGCTGCTGCTGCCATGGTTACGGTCCCAGCCAGCCGATACCCAGCTCTCTGCTACATCCTCTGGAAGGTGCTGAGCCTTGGGAGCCTGTGTGACATGCTGACCTCTTCCCAAAGCACAGGTCAGCCTGGCACCATCCCCAGCTGACAACTTCTCTTGCCACCTCTGCATTGGATCTCTGTACACGCAGACTTTCTGGCTTTGAGCTGAACACAGCCCTGTTGCACCAAGGCACTCCACACATCCCACTCTGAGGTGAGCCCTGCACCCAAGGGAAGCAGCAGTGGTACTGCTGATAGCCAGTACAAGTGGGTCTGGCTGATGCCGGGGCTGCTCATCAGGAGACAAGTCCCAAGCTGACTCGCTGTGGATGGCCATCAGTAGACTGGAGCTGAACAGGAACCTTCCAGGGCCTTGTGGCTGCTTGTCACTCGCTTGCACATACGTGTCTCTCTGCTTACTCCTTCTAAAAGGAAAAGCCAGCCAGGGGCCAAGGAGGTGTCACTGCACATCAGCTGATGTGATCTGAAGGCCATTTCTTGATGGGGAAAAATTACTGCTCTTTCTCTATAGCCATCCAATAGCATGGTTCAAGTTTCTAACTGGCTTTTTAGGGGCTCAGGCTCATACTAATTGCAGGTAAAGTGTGCTCTGTGTCATTCCACTGATTTTCCAAAGCATAGCCTGAATTGGGGCTGCATAATCATCTCCATGCATCTCAATCATCAATCTACATAGTCATCCTCCATGCATCTCTTCCAGTGGGCCTAAAGAGATCTAAGCTCAATTCCCCAACTGGACTAGGACATGTCTATTATCTTGCAAATCCTGACCTGATCCCAAACCAGGGCCCTCTTTTCCCCTCAGCCTCCCAGGCCCATATCTACACCATAAACAGCCCAGCTAAGTCTGCAACCAACCTCTGGATGCTCTTTGCACTCTTGCAGCTTTGCTTATGCTTTAACAAACCCCTGCCCTGGTCCTGCATGCCTGACTGCACCCCACAACCCTCAAGCTGCTAGCTTTAGGGTAGCAGGGAAATTTTCCTTGCCAGGTCAGAACAAGTAAGGGGTTAAGCCCAGGACAAGCAGACTGATATCCCCCCCAGCTGACTTCCACTGCCAGAAGCACTCCTGGGCTCTGAAACATACCTCTGCTCTGTGTGCCAAAGCAGTGGGCAGCTGCCTGAGCCCTCCCTCCTTGCAGGAATGGGGAGTAACTATGGTAACTGTCTCCGGCTGCATCCCAGCTCCTTGTTTGCCTCTCCTCAATAGTGCTTGTGTTTATCTTCGATGCTCCATTCGCAGCTTACTCCTTCTTTCTCATGACAAAGGCAGAAAGCACCGTCTTGCAACAGCTCCCAGCCTCCTTTCCCACAGACAAGCAAATCTCCACAGGTAAGGCACTACCTCACTCAACATCTTCCCTGTTCATCAACTGCAAGTTCCCATGGGCTCACAGCAGAGATGGTTAATCACCAGAGCACAAAATGAGTGTCTGAAGCCCGGCAGGAGGCTGGAGGTGCCAGCAGGCATCAGGAAGCACCACAGGAGAGGCTCGCTGCAAGGGCTGGTGGGGCAGCATGCTCACAGCTAGCTTGTAGATGCACAGAAGCCCGGGTTGTTTCCAGAGCCACCTAATAAAGCAATATAGGTGCCACCCTTAATCCCTGCATAACTTAATCCCTCAGATATCAAACATGGTGAGAGAGCCTCCTCCTGCACCTACACGTTCATCAAAATCTTTGGGGCACAGCCACTACTCCGTGCTGCAGCTCCCGGCACCAAAATTTATGCTCCAGTCTCAGCTGTGACTGTTCAGGTAAAAATTTTCAAAAGCATCTAAATGACTCAGACATGGAAATCAGTTTTGGGAGACACTCCTGAGAATGGATCTTGGGCTCTTGACACTTTTGAAATGTTCCCCACAATAATTTTAGAATGTCTAAACTACCAATTAGTGCTTGATTAACAATGGTAAATAGGAGCCTTGTGCTCTGCTATCTCCCTTGCTGTTTCAGCTATTAATGACAACTATACCACGAGCTGCCAGGGGAAACATTTAATATGGGAAGCCATGATTTCTTTTTCCTTTTGTGTTTTAAAAAAAAAAAAAAAGATGATGACATTTCTTTTCCCTTCTTTCTCTGTTTTTTTCCCCCTTTGCTTTGTCATGCCAAGCAGCACGTCTGACACCAGCTGAAAACATCTGGAGTGGTTCTGATAGGAGCAGAGCCAGCTGCCTTTTCATATTTCTCCGGGACTGGGAGATATATATCAGATGTGAGTGTCTCTCCTCACCAATAATATCTGAATAAATAACTGGTGGTGGCTTAGACCTGGCTAAAGCATTTGCACTCTGCCTCCTTTTGCAGGATTTGATTTACAATATCTTCTCTTGCTTCACACTGATTCTTATTTTACTTTAGGGGTTTTTTCATTCAATCATTTCTTTTCTGCTCCTCCTCTCCCTCCCCTCCCCTTCTTAGGCATTCAATCACAGCTGCCTGCAAGGGGGGTTGCAACCCAGCTTTTCATCTGTTTGTTCTGCAAACAGAGGAAACTTGAGATGCAAGAGTGGAAATATTTTCTAACTAGTCCCTGCCCAGATCTATTCTGAGGATCAGGGCTTGTCTGAGAGGTATGAGCCTGCCAGCATGGGGGAAGGTAGGGTAATATCTGGCCATGCCCAGGCACACAGAGGTGACAGGGAGATGTGATGTGGTTATCCATGGGCATTAGGGGTGCAAGTACTGCAGTCCTTGTAGGAACTTGCTTTCCTCTCCCCCTCACATCAAGGGTGTTTCTGCCCATGACAGAAACCCTCCTTGGTGCCACCAGGGACCCCAGACACCCAGTGCCAACCCTCAAAGAAGTTGCCTTCCTGCCCGCTGCCCCCGAAGAACAGCTGCCACCCCTCCCTGCAAGTAGAGGACAGATACCCAGCATACAGGTAGCAGGAGACTGAGCTGCACCAGCACAGAGCCCCAAAGGCACTCCCACATGTCCCTTGGCCACCAGGGTTTCCCATCACGGCTGCCTCCCCTCTCTCATGAGAGCCATTCTGTCACCTCTGCACGGACATCCCTGCCATGCTCAAATCACCCCTTCTTCCCATGGTGAAAGCCAGTGCTGTTGCTTCCAGCCATCAGAAGCAGAAGGTTGTGATGAATCCTTCCTCTCAAGATGTCCAGGGGTGCTGCAAAACCACTGAGACATGTGACTCCAGCAGGCCATCCCTTGCTGGGCGCTGGTGAGGAAAGAATGCACCTTGGGATGCCAAGGGCATTTCTGGCAGCAGGAGCAGTTTCAGACAAAGAGGAGAGCAAGTTATGTGACAGTGATGAAATGTGAAACCAGCTGCTTTTAAGGCCTTTCATCCATCATCCTTGTGAGCCTGTAGCAGTGACAAGAGGGAGGGTGGGATGAAGGGAAAACTGAGAAAGAAGCATCCTGAAGGGAGTTCACTTTGAAGGCTTGGCATAGGTTAAAAATAAACAGGTCGTCTCATGTGTCTCTGCACTTCCATCCACTCCTGTCTGTACAAATAACCCCCTGAGAGTGACACTTCCAGTGTCAGGTCTCTGTGTGGGTCAGTGACAGCTGGGAATGGGGTCTAACAGACTGTCCAAGTCACCTCACAAATCTACCTCTCCTAAGGCATTGCCTTTCCTCATACAGAACCTCCAAGATCTCCATACAGAGAGTCTCTTCCACTGCACATATCAGCCTCAGCTCCACAGGGCAGACCCACACCATGGCAAAACAAACCCCAACACAACATATGTTGGGAAGCAGACCCCCTTGAGAGCATCAGCTGGGAGCTCTGAGCGCCGTGGCAGCTTAGGTTGCTCCTCATCTCCACCAGGACCTCTGGAGGGTAAGGCTAGATGCACTGGCAGTGCCATATTGGAAGAAGAGTTTGTTCCTCTTGCACTGTATGTCTTCAGAGGTGGGGCGTTTGCCTCCAGGGCCATCACATTTTCTGGTTGTTCATGGGAAATGTAGGTAAAATCAGGTTCTGCCTTTTACTACAGAAGAGAAAGTGTGTTTTCCAGCCTGGAAATGCAGCCACCCTTAGCTTCTTCCAACTGTTCAGAAGTGGGAGTCCACTGTGTATGAAATTGTCTTCTCCTGAGGATCAGAGAACCAAGGACAGCCCGGCCACACCATGTAGAGAAAACCACCCTGGGAAGCAGCCTGCAGCAGGCAAGTGGTGGCCATGGGTCATTGGCTGAGATCTGATTTGTTGCCCCCTAAAAAGCTTTTGCCAGGTTAGTTGGAGATTTGAGTGTGGAAATGTATTGCATCACCTGGCAGAGGATGGTTAAAAGCAAGGCAAGGGGCATGTTCCAGTGAAGGGCTTCAGAAGAAAAGCAACCATGGAATTGTCATGCAACTGCTTGTTTGCGTTATTTTGGGCTCAAATGTTTGCAAATACAACCTGTTCTAAATTGGTCTCTCTCTCTTTTTCAGACTATGCATGATAAATGTGTTGATTTTGCATTCAGCTCTGGGAACTAAGACAGGGCTGAGAAGAAGAGCAACTGTGAGAAGGGAATGCTTGCCTGGAATGTGGTTTAGTGAGCATGTGGATCCTTGTGAACACAGGGCATTTACAAGTGACTAATCACTACCATGCCCTCCTAAGAGCCTTCTCCAATCCCACCGCTGTGCTCCTTGTGGACACTAACAAATCCAGCCTCACAGCCCCCAGGGAAACAAGAGACTGAGGAAATCACTTTCCCAAGGACATATAATCCATCTGCAGCAGAGCATGCAAAGTGTCATTCTGCCCTGGGTCACCTCCCCACACCCGCCAAATGGGGCCCCCCTCACGTCATCATGGGCTGCAGCTGGCTGTGTCCACACTGTCTGTAGGCAGGCTTCAAGGATAAGGTGCAACCAAGGAGTTTGGGTTGGCATGCAGAGTTAAGCCTTGAGCTACCACAATGGCAAGGATGTACCCAGGACTCTCACCTGTGCTTGAAATGTTCTGCTGCTGAGTAAACCTCCAAATCCACAGCACCCCACTGCTCCATATCCACCCAGCACTGCTCAGCATCCACACTGTCCTCTCTTAAAGCAGCTGAACCCATCTGTGTGGAGCTATCCTGGAGGTCTGCATAAGCACCACAGGATCCTAGGACCTCCAGCCAGATGAAGTACACACCATCATTCCTCCTAAACAACACAGGTCTCCAAAAAGCTTTTGCAACCCTTGCTGCTCTTGATTTTTTTTGCACTTCCCATGCCAGACAGAAAAGCGGTGACCATGACAAGTGCTGTGTACTGTTCAGCTGAAAGCATATCTAAAGCCACCCGGTCACTTCAGAAAAAAAATTATAAAGACCCTTGAGGAGGAGAAGGCTGAAATGAGGCAGACAACCCTGCAGCAGCTTATTTATTAGAAGACTTTCACCAGGGAAGAGGTGTCTCAGGGATGTGCCAGAGAGACAATTAGTGGCAAGGACACCAGTGCAGCTGCAGCAATTGAAAAGCAGCGTGGCAGAAGCAGGAGTATATTTAGGGGTGGTCCTGAGCAGGAGAAGGAGTCAATTTTCAGGGTCACACTTTCCCACTGAAAGATTCTTCTTTGGGTTGACCAAGCTAGGTCACGCATCACTGCAAAAATCAGCGAATTATTTCAACTGAGGAGAAGAAAACTGACAAGTTCAAAGGCTCCAATTCAACATTTTCTGAATTAGCTGTTTTAGCTTCTTGAAATAGCCATTTATTTTTACAGATTTCTAATAGGCTATTAGACCTTTTTTTAAGATCCCTTAGCAGAACATTTGCTTTCAAACTGAGTAATTTACTCAACACAAGATGATTTTTCTGCTTTTCATTACAGCAGGAAACTGAAAAATAATGAATTTCCCAATGACCCCCAGTTGTGGGCTTGTTTTGTGGTGTTTTTTTTGGTTTTTTTGGTTTTTTTTTTTGATGCTGTTTTTCCCATAGCAAACTAAAGCAGTGCTTATTTGCACAGCTCTAGTCAAATGTCATGTCCCTCAAAAATCTCAGCTGACCAGGTTAAGAGCCAGGAACTGCACAGCTGCAGGTGCAAGTGGCACACACTCCCAAGAAACACAGAAGCCCAGGCTTCTCATTATCTTAGCTAATTGCTTGACAAAAGACAGCAGGTTTTTGTTTGCCATTTTGCAATGGAGTGAGGTCTGTGGTGAGGAAAATGTCGTCCCCTTCATAAGAACATCTGTACAGTATCCCATGAGATCCCAGCGTCCTGTCAGGGACCAGGGACCAGGGCAGACTAGGTCAAGCATATACAAAACTTGCTCTTAATCCCTTTCCTTCAACAGAAGTGAACAGGTTCAACACAGAGGCTTGCTAAAACAGAGACAGTTTAATTATGCTCAGTAACGAGTTCTGGGTTTTCCTCTTTTGGACTTAATGGAAACTTTAGCATAACATCCTGCAGCAAAGAGTCAGGCAGAGTAATTATCTCTTTTGGGAAGAGATGCTTTTCTTTGCTTCTTTCAAGCCCAGCTCCCACTAGCTTTATTTGATGCTGCTTGCTCTTGAATTGGAGGCTACAGGGAACAAGCCAAAATCTGATGGTGTTATTGTTCCTCCAGAGATTTTTGGAAACTCTGTAATCTGATTCCCAGACCTGCAAAGCTCCTTCTGGGACGCCTGGCTGTGGTGAGGGAGTCCTTCTCGGACACTCTGGGACATCTGGCCCCTCAGATGGATGGAGATGGAGGACATGGGTGCATGCAGCAGTTCTGTGTGCAAGGTGGACATCAGCCCAGCTCAACCATCCGCCATAAAGAAGGGGTGTTAGGGCCAAGGAGCAGCACAGGTACTCATTGGGAGCTGCCTCTGGGTCCAGTGTCTTTTGAACCAATATAAACTTCAGCAGGTTAACATCCTCTGGTGAGAAATTCCCCATCTTCAAAGCCCCACAGATCTTCTCTTCACTGCATTGAGTCCACTTACCTGCAACAGGGCAAGGTGAAATCTGCATCTGGGAGACCAAAACTTTGGCAGGGAAGCCTACCAGCAAGTCTGGGCACTAGGAAGGAAGAAATGTCTTTCTTGACTGTTTGTGTTCTGTGTAAGGGTAGCAGGAGGCAAAAGGTATACCTTGAGAAGCAAGCTCTGTCTGGAAATCAAGAGAGGACTGCTATGAGAAGAGCTGGTCACGAAATGTTGCCACCAATAAGTGACAGAGTCAAGACAGCTGTAACCAGGTAAGAATGCAGGGTGGAGACCTCTGAAGTCACCCAGTACAGCCTTCTGGGAGTATCTCCAGGAGAGACATCCCACACTCTCCAGGCACCTCTTCCAGTGCATGACCACTTTCACAGGGAAGATTTATGTTTCCATTTATGTCTGATCAAAATTTCCATGGAAGCTGTCTGTTTGTGTCCCTCGTCCTTTGCTACGCATCTCTGAGAACAACTTGGCTCCATCCTATTTGCAACAGCTCTTTTGACAGATGAAGACAACAAAGAGCTCCCCAAATCTCCAGACTCTTTCTCACAGGTGCCCCAGCCCCCAGCATCTCAGTGTCCCTCCTCTTGGCTCTTTCCAGATTGTTGCTATGTCTTCCCAGGGAGCCCCAAACCGGACCCAGTGCTCCAGACGCAATCTCACAAGAGCCAAACAGAAGGGACTGCTGACTGAAGACAATATGTGCTTTCTCTCGGCTTGCAAATCCTATCTTTGCAGTCACATGAGCTTTCCATCATGATTATTGCAGGTATCAGTGCAGACTGTGTCAGCCAGCTTTGCCCGCTGTCATGGTTTGAGATAGCCCCAAAATCCAATTCCCTAGCTCCATCCCCCCTCCCACATCTCAACCAATGTGAGATAGGTTTTTCCAGACAAAACACACCAGACTCCAAGTGGGGGAAAGGGAATATATTACAGTGACTGTACAAATAAATATTATAACACATTATACACACGATCACAACTATCTCTACCACGACACATAGTATTTACAATGGATCAGATCTCTTCTCTCCTCCAAATAAAAGTCCAGGAGGGAAGAAGAACAGATCCCTTCCAGTCTCAAGCAGCAGCATCTTCTAAGGCAGCGATCTGTCTGTCCTCTCCACATGCAGCAGTTGATAGCTGGATTTCTGCCAGCACTCACGAGGGAGGCATCCAAGCCTCTCTCTGCCCCATTGCCTCCAACCGAGGGGTCTTCCGTGGACTACGTCACCCCAGATAAAGGTCGTTCCACCACAGTCATATCACGAAGACACATATCTGTCAAGACTGTCTTCTTGACAGTCTGGTATGTCCAGGAGATTCAAGCTCCTTGCAGGGTCTCTGTGCCACTGCCTCAGGCTGCCTTGGCAGCAGTGCGAGGGGGGGGGAAAGCCAAGGTCACCCCCCTCTGCATTCCTCTCGGAGCTCTCTAGCTCCTTTCTGCAGTGCATGTCTCACTTCAAGGCTCTTTCAAGTAAGAGTCCATCATCTTCCTCCTTCCAGGAGGTCTCAAAGGAGTTTTGGGGGGTCCGGTACAGTTCTTACCCCCAGAACTCTGTCTCTCAGCTGCTGACTCTCCTTCTCAGCTCTCTGACACAACTCGGTGTCTTCCTTATTCATTTTTATCTCTTCTGCTTCTCCAGTTCAGTTCTTATCTGTCCTGGCTCTCTGCCAGAGTCTCCGGACGCTGCGTCTCTGCTTTCTGCTCTGTCTCTGCTGCCCACTTTGGAGAAAACATCTCCCAGCTTAACCACAAACACTTAGCCCAGTCTAACACTGTTCCAAGTCTTTGCAGTCCCCCCCAGCCAGGGGCTGGGAGGGCCCAGAGGCCCCGAGGGGCTCAGAGCCCCTTCCTCATGGCTCTACAACATGGCCACCTCTCCTAACAACAACCAAACTACAACTCTTCTCTTCCTGTGCTTGTGATATGTTTACATTTTTGCAGGAGCGCCCATTGGACAGAACTTCAAAACTTCCAGGGGTTACCACCCCTTGGGGTCTACCACTTTTTAGCCTCTGGGGGAAAACAAGATTCAAACCACTACACTCGCCTGTCTTCTGATCCCAGCACCAGCCAGCTCTGGTCCATAAGCCAGGTAGCCAGTTTATCAAGGTGTGACACTTAAATTCCTAAGCCACTCTGAGGAGAGAGGGGCGAGACAGATGCAGCTCAGCACCCCCTGCTAGCATGGGTTAACAGTAGGGGAGGGTTGACTCACCGTAACCAAGAGGGGAGAGCTGAAACTACGCTCACCTCCATCTGCAAGACACTGTGCAGACACCTCTGTTCTGTGGATGTGCAGTGGGATAAAGATTTTATCCCACCTGACATAGGCCTCTCACCCACTCAGTGGTGGAGATCAGAACATAATACAAGAGTGGAGTTTCTGACAGGGAAAGTGGATGTTTTAATGAATCATTTGAGATGCAGAGCCATGAATGTCCAGACATTCTTGGAGATGTTTTAATAAATAACAATGAAGATAACCATTTAAACATTGTGAGCAGGAAATGCATTATTGAACATGCATAACACAGTACAAACTTAGAGCCCTTTCAAAGCCTTCAAAAAACAGCCAGGCAAAATTCAAATTAATAGAAGCAGACAGGCACATTTGTGCTTTAAAGTCTGTCTGTGGCTTCCAGAAAGCGAGCACTGTAACATTGACCTGCATCAAGTTTAAATATTCATGTATCTCCCTGCTCTCCTCACCCTTCTACAGCAATATACTGGCCCCTCAGATGGATGGAGATAGAGGACATGGGTGCATGCAGCAGTTCTGTGTGCAAGGTGGACATCAGCCCAGCTCAACCATCCGCCATAAAGAAGGGGTGTTAGGGCCAAGGAGCAGCACAGGTACTCATTGGGAGCTGCCTCTGGGTCCAGTGTCTTTTGAACCCATATAAACTTCAGCAGGTTAACATCCTCTGGTGAGAAATTCCCCATCTTCAAAGCCCCACAGATCTTCACTGCATTGAGTCCACTTAAAGACAGATTACTTTCACATTCCTTCTGACTGTATGGATCTCTGGGCCACTGACAGATGATAAAGATCAGAGAGGGATCAATCCTGAGGTGTTTTCAAAGGGAAGGAAGGGTTGATACCAAAAATGCAGGTGGGTAAGAAGGTTACTAATTGCATGCGTACATCTGCAGGGCAGGTTGACTTTGAAGAATGTCACTTTGATTACATGGTCTCCTAGGGCAGGGAGGGATCCAGGGATGGTGTTCAAAAGAGCCACAGCCGAAGCAGAGAGCTTCGACAGCCAGTGCAGCATTTAGAAGAATTCAATGTTTGCAAAAAGTGCCAAGGGAGCTATATTACTATGCAACAGTGATGCCAAATTAGAGCATGATCCCTAGCTTAAGGTCTCAGTCTTAACATCCAAAGATCAGTGCAAAGTGCAGAGAAAGATAATTAAAATTTTGCAGTGACACAAAGGGAGAGGAAATCCTGAAAATGGTTTACGATCTCTCACTTTTTTATCTTTGGGGTTTTTTTTAATGACTATAAAACATGGCCTGGGTGATTTAACTCAACACCTGTCATCAGCCAAAAGCTCAAAATCTTAATGAAACTGAGCCAAGCACACAATCTCTGTATGTTGGATTCCAAATTTTGGATATGAGAAAAAGAAAAACTGCTAAGTTTAAACAAAAGCCTTGGGCTGACAGAGACTGGGAAAAACCTCCATCTAGAGTCCAGACAAGGATCTGTTGATGTCACGGGTTTGGAATGTCCTGCCTAAGCCTGGAGAAACCATGCCCTGATCTCATCTAACCTGTGCAGAAAACCTTTTGTGTTTTTTCTCCCTCTGTGTGTTACCTGTTCCCCCCTGTGAAATCCCCCCAGATAAAGTTTCCCCTATGATGTAAGTTCTAAGACCCAAAAGTTTGTAATTTAGGATTTTCCCTTTACCTCATCTCTGTAAAGTCCTCAATTGTAACAGAATGAATATG